TTTGCCCGTTTGAGAACTCGTCGAGAATGCTGAGACACTTTGGTTGTTTAAGTAGATGAGTGTAAGACCAAAACGGCGCCTCATAAATTTAAGGGCGATCAGTCAAAGGACTCATGAGACGGGAAGAGAGAGAGAGAGAGAGAGTTTAGAGATTCGCCACCGGTTACACTGCTATGTTCGTCTTGCACGTGCTCGCTCGGTTTAGAGATTTGCCACCGGTTACACTGCTATGTTCGTCTTGCACGTGCTCGCTCGGTTTTGCGCGGGACGCTCGAGCGCCAGTCGACGTGTAGGCTGTCCAGTAGGCTATGATTTGTCGCATCGCCAACCAGCTGCCGTCCTCGTGTTGCCGCAGATTTTTCGTCAACGATGAACGTTTAACCCGGCAAAAATATTTTTGTCCGGTCGCTTCTTATTTCTTCTCGTTGCTTCGTTATTTAGCGAAGATTATTAACCTTTCGATTCTCGAGGAACGTTTCAACTTGACATGTAAGAGAAACTTAATCGATTTAAATTTCAAAAAAAAAGATGTAAGAAAGGAAGAGAAGAAAAATTCAAGATATTCCTAGAAATCTAGGATGCGAAAGATTCAGAATCCCAAGGAACTTAAACTTCCTCGATTCTCTACGCGACTCAGGATCGGTCTAAAAATTTAACATTGGGATGGTCTAGGATCCCAGCATCTGTTTCCATGATGAATCACTCGAGCGGGCCACTGACTTTGGGGCATGTAAATATAGAGGCGACGCGTTGTTCGACGTCCCGGCGTCGTCGTGCTGAAGGAAGAATACTCAGACATTGTCTTAGCTACAAAAACGCCGCATGCTTGCCGACATTTTGTTCCTTTTTCATGACGTTCTCCGACAGCTTAAACTAACAAACAACATTTTGTTTCAAGCAGGAGAACTAGGAAGCTAGCAAAGAACAATAGAGTATCCGTAGCTGTGACGAGATAATGACTGACAACATATAATATTAAAATATTATCAATATTAATTTTTACATTAGTAGAAAATATATATGTTTATAATACATACATTTTTCAATTTATTGAAGAATGTATGTATTATAATACTATGCTTTATTAATATATTATTACAAAAAACTTTAGGAATTACTTGATACAAGGATTAATCAAGACAGTACAAATCTCGTTAACTAATAGCATAATAATTTTATCGTTACGCTTATCAAGCATTCCTTTTACGTAACTATTTCCCTATTTCATAATTTTTATTTCGAGATGCGGCGATTTTGTACGCAATATTTCGCGATAAGACAATATTCGCGATTAAGACAAATACGATTAGGATAAAAATAGTTCGACGATTGAATTTATAATACGATGTGGTCGAGGACAATGTAGTGGGCAAACATTCCGGTGCATTTTATGCGACCACTAAAGCTTGGCGGTACGCCAACCGACCAAAGGTCTATTATAGTTTTGTTATGACAGCGGGTCGTTTTCGTAAATTAATGTCGAAGCAAATGTATCTCGTTTTAAGGGACCGCCGGTTGTATCCCTAATTGAATCGGTAAACACCATAAGTTAGCCGGTAACTAGTCATGTCGACATAAATCACTTTTCGGGAGATAAGCTGTCACCTCGTGTTTCATAGTCTTCTTTAATCTCATAAATGAACAAGATCGAAGCAAAAAGATACAAATGTCGCTGAACTCTAAACTAAAAATCGTACAAATCTGCGATCGATAATTATATATTTTCAGGTTTTCATAAGTAATTTAATGATCCGTATAAAATTTATTATTGAAAACAATTTTTTAATTATTTTATTTTTTTTTATCAAATAGTTGATATTTTTTATATCTTAGTGTGACGTCTTGTACATATAATATTGGATGAGTCTTTGCAATAAGTTGACATCCTCCACTAGACATTCTGTGATTACAAGTTCCTTGGATCCTTCTCGCGTGTGCCCTTAATTGCACGCATCGTAGCGTGCGGTGTCTGTATTATCCCGAGAAACTAGAGAGGAGCGTTCGCACCTCATAGAAGGAGGACCTCTATATTAACTCACTTTACGCCAACATCGTGCTTTCCATTAAATTAAGTCCAAGCCTTGCTACAAGCCTTACTCTTGTTTCTAACGCATTGAATCTTTATTTGCAGTATTCCCTTTATCCATCGATACTTGCTCGTGAATTTAAACTGCATATTTTGACATGTTTAAAACAAAAATTGCAATTAATTCATCCTATAAATTTTTCTTGTCAGAATTTTATATGAACGGTTGTCTTGTTATAAAATAGTTTATTCAAAACGTATTATGAGAGCGCCAAAATGACATGATATTATCTGGAAAAAAAAAAAATATATTATGTAACATATTTTATAGAATTTGTACGGTGTCGAATAATAAATTTATTTGAACAACTTTGAAATTTTTTTTTATATAAAATGGATATTTTTCACACAGTCTGATATCGCGTCTTTATCTACTGATTACAAACTTTTCATTTTGACCATTATTACCCATTTGAGAAGCTAAGTTACATATGCAAATTGCATCGAGTATGTACCTTCAGCTAGAAAGTTATTTATCTGATTGCCTAAGAATGTGTACTAGCTGCCCGATGCTTTTTACCAGTATCAGACCTCCCTTTCTCTTTGTTGACAATCATTTCGACGCTTTCTTGGAGAACTGTCATCTCCATCATATATAATTCTTTTCCCCGCGTGACGGCAGACGGCTTGGATGGATACAAGACATTAACTCTACGTGCGGAGAACGTAATATGTTAATGTCACCGATGACAACTGGTCGTTTAATCACTTAACGCCTCCTTTGAATGCCAGAAATCGCGTGCCCGGCATGATTCATCGGCCGCAACGGCATCTCCTCTAATCTCGAAATTCCTTTCAAATAGTCGCAGCAGCTGCCTACTTCACGCACGAAGCATTTTCATTTTTTACGTTCTCTTAATAAATCCGTTACCGACCCGATATGCACACACATTATAGCGTACATCACTTTTAAACATCTATGTAGAAAGGGAATGCTGTTTTTACAATAATTCCTACGTGGAAGAAGACACTTTGCAATTTGTTAATATTTCCATAAAATATATAAACTTCCGTCAAATTACAAATATATATTTAAATTCTTTAGATGCTGCATTCCTTGGATCATCAATATTTCTTGTGCTGAGATTTCCAGTTTTTCGACTTTTGCTTTTACACATCTTTTAGACTTTCGCTTTCGTAAATCCGATTTTTAGATTCTTCACTCCATTAGAGTTCAAATTTATCATGTTTGTGGAATTTAACGTTCTCAGATTCGAGTCTTCAAATTAAAAATATTATCAAAATTATAGCAATTAGAGAGAGAGAGAGAGAGAGAGAGAGAGAGAGAGAGAGAGAGAGAGAGAGAGAGAGAGAGAGAGTGTCGAGTCGCTTTAGTAAGGTTTAAAGCGGTCACCAGCAGCACCACCCAAAATTTTCCAAGCGGGATAAAACGGGGTTGCGGGCGGGCTCTCGTGGACTATCCTCGCGATATATGTATGTATATACGCGTGCAAATTCGCGGACAACTATACATAACTGGCGCGCGTATATACGTACATATATGTGAATATGTACGTATTACATATCGCTTCCGCATACCGGTTTACGTATACACTCGATCGTTCAATGTCGCAGCAGTTTTGCAACGGTAGACAGGGGAGGGGGGTTGGGGGGGTGGAGGGTGGAGAGAGGAGGAGAAAAAAGATAATATGATGTTTTTTTATGCGCGTCCACGGTCAGCCGGCTTGTAATTGCCTAACCGCAAAAGTTCGTTAACGTCGATGATAGAAAGAAACGCGCCGAAAATATATCCGTTTCAGTCGCCGCAGTCAACAGATGACGATATGTGTTTATCGGGCATTCGCGTTTACGTAAGTTAGGCCATGCATTGTGGGAAACCGATAGGGTACAATAACAATTAATTCTTTCATAGGACAATTTAAAACCCTTTCTCTTTCTCTTGTATACAAAATAAAATGTTAATTAAAATACGATATCTGTATCTTATTGTTAAATGTATCTAATGATATAAAGAAAAAAATATATGATTTAAATAAATATCATTTAAGTTAGATTTAGTTACAAGAGATTGATACACATTTTTAGAAAAGCGATTGAATAAAATTAGATAAATTTATATCGACTGGTGATTTTTTAATAAAAGCATAAACATATTACATTTATATTTTTTAAATATTAAATATTATTTTATCGTTAAATTTATTGCATTTAAACATTTATTACAGATATAATATGTAAATTAAATTTTAATATTAAATATTATTTTATTGATCAAAAAAAGAAGTTTGTTAATGATGCAGAAAAAATTGACTAAATTTATATTTATTTTCACTGAATTCTTCCTATTAAGCAATATCTCATTATCTCGTTTCACGCGACTTTGCATTTTGTTAATTCGCAATAAAAACAATATTTTTATTTATCTAGTTTTCGCGAAATGTCGGTAAATACAACTTTACGATAAATGTTTCCAAATAAAACGCGTTTTATTTTTATGCGTTACTTTTAATTTTTGCGCATCGATAATTCGCGCTACATTGAATTTTCACTCGCAAAAACGTGAACATCAGATGCTAGTGTTTTCCGCTTGACCGCGCGGGGCTATCCGGTGAACAATTAAATAACCGTTTTTTCTAGCCTGGATGATATTTGTGAAATTGATTGTTAAAATGGCGGCCAGGTTTAAAGAGGTATTACGAGAGAGAGAGAGAGAGATAACGTTAAATTTGCAAGGGCGCGTGAAATAATTTCCCAATAAGCGATCAAAGAGACGTGAAACAAAGTTTACATTGTACACCGTATTTTCGCTACATTGAATGCGTTACACAAGAGAGAGAGAGAGAGAGAGAGAGAGAGAGAGAGATTGTCGATTGTCGTTAATGAATGATGGTGCATGAACAACAATTAATTATCCGAATTCAACTCTGCGAGATTATGTATTTCGACGATCTCGTATTATCGCAAAGTACTTGCCACGCGGCATACAAATGGGGCCATTAATGTCGGTTCTTAGCTGTATCTGCTTTACAAGGAGAGTTCCCTCCTTTTGCCATAAGTTATACTTTGCGAGCCGTGTACTGAAGAGACACGCGAGAAAAAGGACGATTGTCGTGTATTCGTTTTCCGTTCTTAGTCGCCGCTCGTAGCCGTCACTCGCGTTTCCATTCCACGCGAAGTGAATCCATCACGTCTGATCCGATCGGTAGGCGAGATCCACCGAGCCCGCAACAATGAATGAGCACGCGCGTGAAGATCCGGATGCAAGAATCGTACGAGCTGACATTTTTCATGTGTCACACACGACTCCGAGATATTTCGAAATTTCGTGCAATATTTTATACACATAATTTTAGGATATTTAAAACAGATAAGAAAGATCTGAAAAAATTAATCAATTATCAATTAATAATAGTTGCATATCATTATTTTTCGGCAAAAGTTAATTTTGAAATCTTTTCTGTTAAAAAATTGATTTAATATCTATTTTAGTATCTGAAATTCACGTTCATCTTCGATTTCGTAGATTATTACATTTTTTATTATTGATAGACTTTCTGATTTTTATAATAGCCTATTGATAGACTTTTTAATAGCCTATTGATAGACTTTCTGATTTTTCTACAACTCTGAAATCTAAATTTATGTAACGGAGAAGAATAAACGCAAAATATATTGAGCATACTCTCTGAAAACTTCACATCTTGCGTCAAACAAGTAAGATGTATTCATACTACAGATGGACAAGGAATTACGCGATTTTACCGAGAACGGTGCGGCTGATTTTCTCGTTTCTCGAAGGTGGTCTGTCCGTATTCGTTAAATCTGGCCGGGGACCGATACGAAGATAAACAGAAGTTACACCTTGGCTAACACGCGCGGGAATTAACATAGCTGCGCGCGGTTCGACGTTTAAAGGCCGATCGCATTTCCATACCGGTGCTATTCGGTCCCGTTTGGCCCATCGGGAATCTTTTCCCCTTGATGTCCTATGCTGGTCTATATTTGCCCTCGGACTGCGGCGAGGACCCATTTATATCCCCTTATCCGTACATCTTTGCGCAGCGGGTCTCCGCGAGGCCCGAAGGCCGAAACTGCGTCCTCCCTCTCTCTCTCTCTCTCTCTTTCTCTCTATCTTTCTTTCTCTCTTTGGTTTTTGTCTCTTTCCTTCCAGTTTGTCCCAGGAAGATGAAGTGTCGACTCTTTCGCCGTGAAATTTTGACCCTTCACCTTTGAAGTTAAGTGAGAGAAGTGAATGCATCAACCTCTGCTTAAACAGAGAAAATGTTGCGTTTTAGATAATAAATTACCTCTAGCTCTTAATCTCTTCTAACTAGATTCAATGTATCTTAATTGTTAAATTCTGTCTTTTTAAATATTTTCGATTGAAAAGAAAAATTCTGTTAAGATTTTTGGATCGTACGATTTTCGTTTGAAATTATTCGTATAATAACACAGGAGGAAATTAACGCGGATGCTCGCGACGCGTCACGTCAGGCCCTTGACAAAATACTTGGTCGGCGTTCGATTTTTGTTAGCGGCTTGCGAGACATGATCGATGCAAATTCTGGCTGACGCGAATAACTCGCGAGACCGCAATGCTCTTCGTAATTGGATGTATCCAAAGCCGTCGACATTAAAATGCGTATGGCGGCCCCGCCTGGTCTCGCCCCCGTTCAGGATCAAAAGACGAGAGCGAGAGATGGATTTTTTTTTTTTTTTGGTTCTCGCGTACCCATCTGTTTTTCATTCATTCGCGCGAACGAGTTGATTTCCGCGCACGAGATTCCTCGCCTCTTCGTTCGCGCGCGATTCGCTCATCCAGCCGCGAATCTCGCCGGGAATGTTCCTTCATTAATAAAGAAGAGAGAGAAGAGAGAAAGAGAGAGCACTGGGGAATCGTCGTCGTAGGTGCTCGCGTGAGTCCGCTTCGCTCCGCTCGACGGCAAACCCGAGCGGAATGCGCGCGGAGCGCATACTTTCATCAATTTCACGTGTCTCGCAGCACCGCTCGCAGCTATTTCATTGACGACCTGTCGGCGAGGAAAAGGGCGAGAAAGAGAGAAAGAGAGATTGAGAGGGGGAACAGAACCGTGTATTTTGGGAACGAAATCGCGCAAGGGAACATCGAGATTATAAAGAGAGCACAATGAAAGTGCAATCTGACAATGTACACTCCGAAATATTTGCCACGAAGGATCGCGGAAGGGATAATCAGTTGTTAGAGGGTGGATGGGAGGGAAGGGGAAGGGAAAGGACTCTAAGCATCCGCGCCGCGATCTTTCGCCTTCCCCCTATAGGACGAGAAAGTGCTCTTCATCGTCCGAATATCGAAGAGTTTGTCGCTCGACTTGCCTTCATCCGAGCGAGAATACATCAAAGCGCTTTACCCACCTTCGTTTTATCCCCCACATCCCCATCTTGCCCTTTCTTCGCGACGGCGTAATAATCATTTATTATCCCGGCAAGTAATAACGACCGCGACTATGCTATGAAGTTGCGGAAATTAGGCTTTGTTTAAAAATTAGCCGCCCATCCGGACGGACTCATAAACTTTCCTCCGCTCGCTTCATCAGCCAGCAAATTTCCCCATTTTCGCCGAAAAACTTACCACAAAGCACCCTTTCCTCTGCGTCTTCTTTACCCTTACCGCCTGTCGATGCAACTTATAATTTGGTAAGAAGCATAAAAATACTGCTAGAACGAGGCAACTCTGTCAGCCTTATCAGTTATCAACGATACAATTCTTTATTGACAAACAATTAAATAAATAATTTAATATGAAAATATTTTAATTTTTATATTTTTCTGCTATTCTCTAGTATAATAAGAAAAATAAAAAGCAAAAGAATTTTTATTGCGTTGGAAATTATTTAGATCTGAGAAAATCTCTTAAGTGTGGTAATACAAAAAGATGAGATACATACCTGAAAGCGTATGAAAGTATCTCGACATATCTCGTAATAAATGCGGTTAGAGAGGCCGACGATGGCTCAATTATGCGGCTGCTCGTTTGACACTTAATCGAGAAAAAGAAAGTTTGCGTGCAAAGAAAATTGCGAATCCGATTAATCTGCAGTTGATTCGTTAGAACCCGGAAGCGCGACCCTGTTCGGCGAACTCTCCGTTAATTGTCTTAGTCTTCGATCGTGTCCCTCCTCCTCCCTTCCTCTCCATCTCCCTCGTCCACTAATTGAAATTCTTACCTAAGTACCTGCGCAAACACAGAATTCACTGTTAATTGATCGGAGATTAACTCATTGAGTTACTGCACATGTTAGGATACGATGATCCGAGAATTCAAGGACTCAACAAGTCGTGGACCGAAAGAGCCAATATTCCAAGAATCTGAAGAATCGAGCTTTAAGCGCAAAGCTGCAAAATTATTAACAAATATTGATAGTCGTTGTAATTAAAATAGCGATCAAATTTTATTTATTTAGATAAAAATTAGCATTTATTGTGGAGAGAGAGAGAGAGAGAGAGATGAATTTTTTTTAATATTTTATATATAAATATTTTAAATATTTTAAATAAACTTTTGCTAGTGTTTTACAAGATAAATAATCGATAACAATATAAGATCTCGAACATGAAATTGCCATAACCGTGAGATTCGAGCATTTAAGAGAATCGGCTTGAGACTTATAGATTTTTATTTTGCGCTAACAGATAATATTCTCTTTATTTTTGTAACATTTTTTCGCGCAAGTATTAACATACGGAAAAAGAAAGAAAAGGGGGAAAGATAATTTTATAAAAAATTTTAGCCATTATAAATTTTTAGCGGCCGCGTATCTCGCCTTTTCTTCTTCGCGACGAGGCGTTTTATTCCCTTTTTTTCCCCTTCAGCCACATACGCGCCAACCGTTGGTCTAGACGTGTAATTGAAGAAACAAAGGGGCAATTACATTGTGCAATTATATTGTGTGTCTCACAATTACCGCGTCTGCGCGTTTCAACAAGTATGGCAGCCGCGACTTGCATTTTTGATAGAATTATTTATTCCAAAAAGATGGCGGAGGTCATCTTACGATATTAATGCTAATTGAAACAATTTGCTGCATTTTAACATTATTTTATAAATTTTGGTTTCAGAGATACAATGTTTAAAATAATTAAAAATATCGACACATTTATAACTTGATAAGCGTTTTTATTATCACATTGTCGGATGTAAAAAAATTAAATTTATAGAAATCGAGCATAATATTTATATATATCGTATATTATTTTGTCTTTTGTCCAGTTTAAAATGGCACAAAGCACAAATTTATTTCAATGTTTTTTACTATTACTAATCGTTAATCGCGCTACGCAATCGCGCTACGCAATCGCGCGAAAGACAATATGAGAATGATCCCTCTTATTTCTCATTTCCGATCTAGCAGGACATTTTCATTAGTCACGAGACGCGACGGACAGAAAGACACTGGCGCTGCTCGATGACTCAAGGATTGACTCGAGGACTGTCGATTCGTCACTGTCAGCTAGTGCAATGTCACGAGTGCCGAGATGAGACGAGCGATTACGGGATTGAAAAATGATCCGCGAAAAGTCTCGGCATTTCGTCCATAATTCCTCCATGGTGAACCGTGGTCGCCTACGTACTACTGAAAACGAGACGACAGAGCGTCTTCTACTTAGCTTGAATATCTGCATTTCGAATTTTACGGAGGCAAATATTCGGGGAGATCCGTACTTTTTCAAGGATCGAAAAATTTAGGGAACTAAAAGTTTTCTTACGTATTTTAGCGATTCAGTGACTTAACAATACCGAAGAAAAATCTAGGAAAAAAAATTTATAAAATAGACTTGAAAAGTATATAATTCTCCACGCAAAAAAATATCTCTTTTCGCGATCGTAATGCCCGATATAGCTACTACGATTGGATCGCTCTCTTTTTCCTCATGAATTCGATATAGATGTTTCCGGGCCCGTGGATCGGATTTTTCAACGATCGCCGCCTCTGCCTGGAATGCACTTGCCGCCCCGGGCTCGAGGGGGTTCAAAGGTTAAACAGAAAATGTCGTACGGAGGCATGCCGAGGAGGCGGCAGTCGGAGGAGATGGTCGCGACGAGAGAGAAGAAAGCCGGAGGCATCGCGAGCCCGAGCTACCGGCGGAAGCTAAACGCACATTAAAGAGGCTCGTAAAATCATAAGCATTCCGCAAGATTCGCTAATATGTCGACGAGCCTCAATGTTGCTCGTCGGCGTGCGGTGGGTGTAATGAATGTATACGTTAATGTTAATAAAGGCGATGAGACGCGCCGCCGACTCGAGGGAAGACTCGCGCGACCGTGCATTTCCCGAATGCCAGATTCGACGCGAGCTATCTGAAACGGTTACGATACTACAATAAACGTCATAAATGCCTTAACATTTATTACAAGTATTTTACGGAAGCTACTTCATCCCAAAATTCAACATTCCTTTGATCCTTAGATTCTTTGAATTTTGCATTTGCTTTGCATATTTCATATATATATATTCCGCGAACTCTACAAGAGTGAACCTTTCATAGCTTCTCCAGGAATCTAGTTTCCGGATTCCTTTTAAAAACTACAATTCGTCGTCAATCTTCGCGTAGTGAGAATACTCTCATCATTCGGAACGGTCGTAAATGCCGAGCGGAATAGCCTGCAGGCTGCGATCTCGAGATCGAGTACTCGATTCTGCTGCGGCATTAGAATTGAATTGAATGAGGTTTTCCTCGAGAGCCAGTTTCCACGGAGCGGGCTCGTGTCGCCATTGAGACGCCTTTTGCCTTTTTTCCTTCCCTTTAGGATCATAGGCGTCGACTGTGAAACATTTTTGCGAGAAATTCTTCAGATAAAATTCTCGAAGTTGAGATACAATCCACATCATGCGCGAGCGTTTAATATTAATTAATTTAACAATGAATAATCTATTATAAAATGAAATTAAGCTAATAAAGTTAAAAGTTAGATATATAAAAAAATATAAAATAATATAACGCTTATTTATACATATATAACGATTTCGAAAGTCATAATCCATTATTGCAAATTGTTCCAATAAAATTCTTATTACCATAATCGTTTGGTAAATATAAATATCATAATTATTAAAACATGATGATAAT